GGGGAGACATTTTATTTACCCAGCAGCCATTTTGAAACTGCCAATCAGCTTATTTATTTAATTAATTTATTGGATTTTTACTCCGCCCCTCTAGACAATGTCTACTCAGCTGTCTGAAAATTGTCATATTGCGAAGAATCGGTTCCCGAAGCAGGGAACCAATCATCGCAAAGCGAAAAAACCTTATTCAGACCATCATTTTGCGATCGCAATTGCGATTGCAAAAAGATCGTCGTAATGCGGTTTCATTGTAATGTGGGGCAATCGTAAAGCGAGGCACCACTGTATCTGGATAATACAAATCTCCCATCACTACTACGTAGTGTTTTTTTTTTAACCCTGCAATTTGTTTTTCAAAGGTTTTGTCGGCTTCCTCTCTCTGATTGGGTGGTCCAGGCTTGAGTTTGCAAGAGCTGAGCAGGGCAGTTGAGGAGAAGACATTCTGGACATCTCTCATTCATGAGGTCCCCATACGTCGGGGGCAACTTGACAGCACACAACAACAGTAACTCCAGTTAAGGCAGTGATTCCCAACCTTAGGTCCCTAGATGTTCTTGGACTACAGCTCCCAGAAATCCTGGGCAGGAGAGCTAGTGGTGAAGGTTTCTGAGAGTTTTAATCTAGGAACATTGGGGGACCCAAGGCTCGGAACCAGTGTGCTAGAAGAACCTAGAATGCATCAACAGTGTTGTGCTCACCTCATTATAGTCATTCTTGTCCCGCATGTGCTTCACAATGTAGTTGGCCCCTGTGATGGCTGGCTTGATCTCATTGTAGAGCTGTTCATCCCTGCCATCCATGCCATGGAGGTTTGGCCCTATAGAGCAAAAAGGAGGTAAGCCGTGAAGACAGTGCCCCACAGAGCAACAGAGGGTCATGTGAATGCAGAGGGAAGGCAAACCACCCTAAAGGAAATAGTGAGTGTCCCATCTTCAGGATCGGTATATGTCTAAAATGACCAAGGTCCCTTTGTTAGGCAGTCATTACACAAAAGAAGCAGACCATGCAACCAAGGGCTTATCTACCTGAGCTTTTATTGGAGAGGGCTCGGTCATGTGGGGTCACGTATGCCATTTGGTGTGATCCTTGTATCCAAATGGCATACCAGACCTCAAGTGAACCTGTTTGAGCCATCTCCTTCAGCTGGGAATTTCCTGCATCCTGAACTGACTTAAGAAGACAGCCATTTCATGATATTGGCAAATCGATCACTTCCTCTGCTCCTCCACAGAAGGAGCAGAGGAAGCGATTTATTTAAAAAGATGGTATTAGAGCAGTGCTGATGCGCTGCATCACTATGAAAAAAAATAGAAATAAAAAATGGAAAGCTTCCTCCTGGTTGTGTGAGGAAAAGGAGGGAGTGACAAGGGCTTTCCCTGCCTGCGGCTGAATCCCGCACTGGCTGGTACTGATGGAAACCCAAGCTACTAGACCAGAAGGCAAAAACAAAAACCGACTAGAGCCGGATATTCAGATACGAATATTCAGATAGGAACTTGTACCTCCTTTCTGTAATCAAGTGTTTGCTGCATGTCTAATCCTGTAAGCAAAACTGCAAATAGCTCTGTAATTTGTACTGTTTTTGGAATACTGCTGATTCCACTCTATGGTGGATTAAAAAAAAACCTATTATCAAATTTTATCTGAAGATTTCTTCCACATGTCTGAGTTCGTATCTTCCCTTGGCCGTGAGACTCATTGAGTGACTTTGCACCAGTCACAGTCTTTTCGCCTGTCCTACCTCACAGGGTTCATGTATGGGAATGAGAAGGGTCCAGTGTGGTACTCTCAGAAATGTCTTGATGGCTTGTTACGATGACTGCAACATGGACATTCAACCGAGCTCTTGTCGTTGATAGCCCCTGAGGGACGATTCCCCATCCATTAAAAAAAAATCCTCTCTTTCCAATGCCATCCAGCACAGCTGCTACTATTTCATCCTGTGGCACTAGCAATCATTTCCTGCCCCCCACCCCACCCCAAAAAAAGAAAGCTCACTCGCAGGTGTGACCCGGCTGGCCAAACCATGTCTCTCGGACTGCTTCTCAAACATGAGTTCGCTCCGGGACTTGATGGTGAAATACTCTTCAGCCTTGACGATGTAGCCGACGGAACTGCTGCGCCGGATCAGCAGCCCCTCCTGGGGGTCAGGATCGCTCACAGCTGGCCTGGACATGTGCAGGAGGCGAGGCAGAGTTTCGAGGAAGAGCTGTTGGGCAGAGTGGGATCATGTGGAAGGGTTAGGCGAAAGGAAGCCACCATCCTTAGTAGCAAATTCAAACATCTGGCATCTCCGTGCATCCATATTGCAGATAATGCATCATAGAATAGTGAAGTTGGAAAGGGGCCTATGAGGCCATCAAGTCCAACCCCCCCCCTGCTTGATGCAGAAATGCAAATCAAAGGATATCTGCCAGGTGGTGGTCTAAATTTCTCTTGAATGCCTCCAGGGCTGGAGTGCTAACCACCTCCCAAAGTAATTGGTTCCATCGTTGTACTGCTCTAACACTTAGGAAGTTTTTCCTGAGATTCAACCGAAATCTGGCTTCTTTTAATTTGAGCCCATTGTTGCGTGTCCTGCACTCTGGGATGACCGAGAACAGATCCTGCCCCTCCTCCGTAGGACAGCCTTCCAAGTCTTTGAAGAGTGCTCTCCTATCACCCTTCTCTCTTCTAAAAATGCCCAGTTCTTTCAGTCTCTCCTCCTAGAGCTTGGTTTCCAACCCGCGATCGCCCTCGGTGCCCTCCTCAGAACTTCTTCCAGTTTGTCATCATCCTTCTTGAAGCGTAGTGTCCAGAACCGGACACAATACATTGTGAGAAGAAGGAATTCTTAAATGCTGAAAACATCCGATTTTCCTAACGGGTGATTTCTACCTCCCACCGTTCGGCAGGGATGGGCACTAGGCTTGTGGGACTGGCTGTCAAGTTGGACCTAAGTCACCCTGGCAACTCAAGAATTCTTAGAACTGCACAGGTGGAAGGGACCCTGTGGGGTCATCAAGTCCAGCCCCTCTCAAGGAGGCCCAGTGGGGAATCGAACCCCCAACGTCTGGCTCTGCAGCCAGATGCTTAAACCACTATGCTAACCAGTAGTTCCTTTCTTAGCCTAAAGATGCTTATCCTTCCTTGTTGGTCTCTGTCACATACCCTTCTCTCCAATACCCTCCATCTTCAGTTAGTTCGCCTCTTCCTCTTTTGCTGCCACCAACCTTTAGCTGCTCATATCCATGTGTATTTTGCTCCCTTACTCAGGCCCTGATAATGCCACTCACATTGCCAGACTTCAGGCACTGAGTCCCACTCAGTTAGACTAGAACAAATACGGTTGTACAGTGGTGCCCCGCATAGCGACGTTAATCTGTTCCAGGATTAATGTCGCTATCCGGAAACATCGCTATCCGAAACGAAAAACCCCATAGGAATGCATTAAAATCCATTTAATGCATTCCTACCGGGGGGGGGGAATTCACTTGTAAGCGAAGATTCCCCATCCGGCCGCCATTTTTGCCGCCTCAGTAAGCGAGGGCAGGACGTGAAAATGCTGCGGGCAGCCATTTTGTGGATGCGGCAGCCATTTTGGAACCGCCGATCAGCTGTTCTAAAAACATTGCAATGCGATAATCAGTAAGCGAAACGCTTACCGATCATCGCAATGCGATGTTTAGCCTATCTAAACATTGCAATGCGATCGTAAAAACAATCGCAAAATCCGCATCGCTATGTGGATTCTTCGTTAAACGGTGCGCTCGTTAAACAAGGCACCACTGTATTAAAAGAACATGGTTAAAAGAATGTCATTTATTCCTAGGCTTTAAATTTATTCAGTCCTTGATCACCCCTCCTCATATAATTTGTCTTCCAGCCAATCAGAACAATTCCTACCAACTTTAATTGCTCTTCATTCACCCGCTCCCATCACACACCTCTGTGTGTTTTCAAGTTGGAACCGACTTGACAACACAGTGACCTTAATAGGGGTTTCAAGGTAAGCAAGATATTTAAGGAGCCATTTTCCCAGGCCCGCTCTCCCATGACTGAGCGGGGATTCGAACCCCATTCTCCGGTGTCCTAGTCCTTCATTCTATCCATGACATCACACTGGGATCTTCCTGTGCTTACCAAACCATAGAAACAACACATTCAAACATAACTGGGCATGATAGCCTCCCCTCCAAATATTAACCAGGCCTGACCCTCCTTAACTTCCAAAATTAGGCGAGATCCTTGTTTTCAGGAACGTAACGGTCACTCGAAAGCGGTGGTCCCCAGATGTTCTTGGACTACGACTCCCAGAAATCCTGGCTCATGGTAAAGGCTTCTGGGTGTTTTAGTCCAAAAGCATCTCGGGGTCCGAGTTTGGCAAGGGCTGCTCTAAAGGAAAACCCCAGCATTACGAATCCCAACAGACGTGATCAGGATGAAATTCTACCTCTTGACTGTGTTTCTTAATCTTCAATGCCCCCTCTTCGGCACTGTTAGGTTTTGAAAACTATTCCCCCGGAAACGGTGTCACGACACATATTTCTTCACTGCTTTCTTTCAATACCATTATTTCGGAGAGGAGGTTTCCATTTCACGACATCCTCCCCATTTGGGTCCCCTCTTTCGGCCTTACCTCTTTGGTCCAGCTGGACAGGATGTGGGTGCTGGGGGTGCGGAAGTGGATGTTGAGCTCCACCACGCAGAGGACCACCACGGCGGTGACCAGCAGCATAACAAAGAGCAGGTACCTGCCAGAGTGGAGGGCGGGTAGGTCAGAGCTGGCTGGCTATGGTGATTCAGAGGCTCCTACCACGTGAGGCTGCTACAGATTGCTCAAGGGTTAGGAGGAGCAAATCCACAAGGGATAAAAATCATGGATGGTCAAATCCGTGATGTTGTGGAACCAGGGATTCCCCCAGGCAAAGTTCTAGGACTTTTTGAGTAGGAGGGAATCACAGCCCCTCTCAAACTCTCCTGTTCTTTTGGAACTCACCTGTGATCATTAGAACAATCTAATCAAGCCTGACCTTTCACATGGCAATGGCTCCTGCCTATATTTGTAATGTGGCTTAATAAGTAAGCCACTTCAGGATTTTGGCAAATGAATCACTTCCCTGTTTGGCAGGGGATAGGGGATTTTAAAAAAACTATATGTAGGCTAAAGCTGATGCACTACTTCAAGTTCAAATAAAGTTAAAATCTTTCCTTTACCTTCTCTTAAACGGCCAGTTGGGAAACCACCTGCAGCCAAAACCACTGATGTGGTTTGGGCTATGGGTTGTTTCTCAACCATCCCTTTTAGACAAGGAAAAGAAAATCTGTATTTTTTTATAACTGATGCACTGCATCAATGATAGTCTATAGACAGTCAAAAAAAACCTTACTTCCTCTGCTCTCTGCTGAGCAGGGGAAGTGATTAATTTGCCACTATCCTGAAGTGGCTCACTCGTAAGTCATTTTACAGCATAGGCAAATTTAAACCCGAAGTTTTCCTTTGGATTTGTTCCAGTGATCACACATGCTGGAACTGATCCAAACCAGGACAATCCCAGATACACTTTAAAAAGGGAGAAACTTCTTGACAGAGGCCAAAAAGGTGTGGGTCAGAATGCTCGGGGGGGGGGGCTGGTGCAAAGACATTCTCTGATTTGCCATCTTTAAGAGTACATCTCTGCAGTGCTCCAAACAGTGTGCTGAATGCTTGTGTAATTAAACTCTAAGACAACGAATTTGCAACACAGATGCCTCCACACCTGGAAAAGCTGTGGACCATGTCCCCCCTCAGCTACCAGAAGGACTTTCTTTTACTACTGAACAGACCAACATTTGGACCTACAACAAGCAAAACATTAGTAATATTCCTTGATTTAAGCCTGTTTCTGAAACGCATGTGTGTACTCATGGAAGACCTCTTTGGTTTTCAGGAGAGCTGGACAGGCCGACGCTATGTAGAGGCATCCTCTTTTAAGGCAAATAACCTCCCAAAGAGCCATGATGTCCTAAATTCTTATCAAACGGCTCAACTCTCCTGCTCTCCTGGTGGGAATGGGACCTACCTGGAAGTTGGGCCCATTTTTGGGCCAGAATAAGACTTACTTGCCAATGAGTGGGATAGCAAAGGAAGTGGCTGGCAGGCGCTGGGAGATCAGGAGCAGGAAGACAGACTGAGCCAGCAGGATGGAGATCACCAGAGTCACCTTCTCTCCACCTGGAAGACACAACGGCATGACACGGTCTCTCTGGGGCCTCACCTGCTTACAAAAGACAATTCCCTGACTTACCCTTTGTATGTTCTGGATTCTCCTTAAAGAAATGACTGGACAAAGGGTCCCCATTCTAGCCCTAGAAGCTTATTTAGGAGGAAGTACATAATAAATAAAAAATATAGGTGAAAACAAAATTTAAAAGAAGGGGGTGGCACCTTAAAGACAATTTTATTTATTTATAAATATATATATTTATATTATATTTATATACATGTGTGTGTGAACTTTCTCGGACAAGTCCCCTTCATCAGACATAAGAGAAGGAGATATTTATAAAATTAAAAACTTTGCTCACAGTCAGCTGGCAGGTAGAAGACCAGGATGGTCATGAAGGCGATGAGGATGCAGGGGGTGATGATGTTGATGATGTAGAAGAGGGGCTTGCGCTTGATGATGAGGTAGAAGGTGATGTCTTGGTACTTGTTACTTTCACGAGGGACGCTGGGGTCAACGTTTTTCCGGGCTGGTCTGTGAATGATCTCCCATTCGCCATTCTCTGGGTGGGAGAGAGAGAGAGAGAGAAGGTCCGGAGGAGGCCGTGGTAGATCAAAGGCCAGTGGAGAGGGGTCTGTCTCCATTATCCCAAGGCATCCACCCTCTGTGTCTGTCACTGAGCTTGAAAAAGTTACTTTTCTGGACTACAGTTCTCAGAATCTCCTAATCAGCATGGCCAAGCCTTCATCCCTGCCCGAACGCTGAAGGAAAATGTTTCCGTTTGGGGCATGGGAAGTGGAGAGAACATGGAGATACAGCGGGGAGTTTGTTCATCCATAAGAGGAATAGAAAGAAAGATTGCTGAGTGACTTATTCTCATGGATTTAGGCTGCCTTGTCAGGGTAAGAGGACAGGCTGAGGAATTTTAAAGTCTCTTGAGAATCTGTGCCTTCAGTGAGGATTCCCCTCTCGTGCCTGGTTCAAGGTGTCTATAATTTGTGTGCAGTGTTTTCCAGTGTTCTTTCCCTTTAAGAAACCAAGCGCAGGCACACATGGCAAGCACAGGACTTCCTGATTGCTAAAGAACATGCAAAGAACCCATCCAGTGCTTCATGTTCTTTGGGAAAAAAAAGGACCAGACAATGCAGCAAGACATTATTCCCCCTCCCATTAATACTATGGTTTTCCCTCCAAAACCTTCTTCACTGCAAGCCACCACCAAACCCATCTCTGTGCTCTTGCCCACAGCTACCGGTGAAGGCTGCCGGTTCAATGACGATCCATTCCACCAGAAACTTCTTCTTGGGACCGCCATTTTCCTTTGGCACCTCCTCGTCTATCTTGACCTGCATGTCGATCTCGTTGGCGTTGTACATCAGCGACCTGATAATGGCATGAAGAAACCCGTTGACCACTTGCTATAAAGTCCCTTTTGCAGAATTCTCTAAAAATGCATGATACGCTCCCATTTTTGTCAAACTTTTAAGCTTTGGCCAAATAGGGCTAAAACTGCATGTATACCAAAGGTTGACCCACTGGCTTGAGGGCCTGGATAGACAGCTTTTTCCATGGATCCCATCTAGAGTGATGGGGTTTTCATGAGGTCACCTGTATTGACTTGAAAGACCTCAAAAGAGTCTCCCATCTCATTGCTGAAAACATGCTTATGATTGTGTGACACGTCAGTTAAAGCTAGCAAAGCTGATGCCCATAGCTTAGAACAGCAGTTCTGAACCTTGAGTCACTAGGATGTTCTTGGGCTAAGACTCCCAGAAACCTTCACCACTAGCTGTACTGGCCAGGATTTCTGGGAGCTACAGAGCAAGAACAGCTGAGGACCCAAAGTTGAGGACCAGTGGCTTAGAAGATTTCCTTTTTTTGGACTCCCAGATGCCCTCAGATAGCATGGCTGTAGAAATGTTTTTGAGCTCTACGAGTATCTTATCATGGCTTTTAGATTTTTTTAATGAACCAAGACAGTCACTTGTGCCTTTTGTATTTATTTATTTATTTATTTGATTTATATACCACCCATCTAGAACGTGTCTACTCTGGGCGGTTTACATATAACATAAAATATACCCCGCCTATCTTGTCATTGTGACCACTCTAGGCGGCTTACAAAACAAATATAAAACAGATATATATATACGTAGTTTAACACGATTGGAAAAATTTCTACAAGATGGGAAGAACAGAATAAATCATAATAGAAAAAGAGGGGGAAGAGAATTAGGAATTAGGAATATTTTGCTTCATTCCTCAACCTCGGCTACTCTCTTGAACGTTTTGTCAGCTATATCATAGACGCCCAAGCCTTTACTTGGGCCAGTTTGCCCATCATTGTGCAAAATCAAAGGTAGAACCCATGTTTTGCATGGGCAACCCGTCAGAGTCAAGTCCCTCCATTTCCCCTGGCTCAGGAGGGAATCAAACTCCCAACCAGCTACTTCAACCACTGAGCTATTGGCTGTTCCCATAGATAACCCCTCTGTGTCCTTCCTTCTATCCTTCCTTCCCGTCACCGGTAAATGACACCCCACCCGCAGTTACAGAGGCTTGCTAGCCATTTCTACAGAGCTGCACGTCTCTCTCTAATCAGAGGACATCCCTGTTGGCCACCACCCAAAGGCAATGATGGCCGGACAAGGAAAGGTGGGAATGCAGTGGACCCAATGCCCATTGCACATGGCCAAGAAACAAGCCAAAGAAGGGCTGGCAGCCACTCCTTACGTGAACTTCAGCGTGCAGTTCTGCCAGTCAAACGGGAAGAAGTTGACGTTGATGGGGCAGGCGCTGCGGAAGATGGCGGGCGGCAGCCAGTAGACCCAGCCGCTGCTGTACAACAGGATGTTGGCGTTGTACGTGATCTCAAAATTTCCGTCGTTGCTGAGAAGGCAGAGGAAGCCACATTGGTGAACGGCATCAATATCCCTACTAGAAGGTTCCTCCAGGAAGGAGAAACCAGAGACCCACTTCCAACCTCGCCAGGGCAACGAACGGGCAGACCAGAGGAAGGTGGCGGGATCTCAGGACCAGAGGAGAAAGCTCGCCCTTCTTCCCGTGGTGGGAAAGGAAGAGGGATGTCCATCAGAGTCAAGAGCTCACCTTGAGATCATCATAAAGGGATTGCCTCCTACATGGAAGGTCTCCTGGTGAGCAGCAGACTCCTCAGGAAGGCCACGGCTACCAGTCAGAGCTGTCGATATTAGACTCAATGGGCCGAGGGAGTGGATACAGGATAAGGCACCTTCTTAGAATCCAGTGTCTAGATGTCTAATCTAGTTTTTGCTCCCATTTTCCAACTTCAGAACTCCCCTGCAATTATGCAGTTTGTTTCTAACTGCTCACTAGAAAGACATGGATGGGGACGCGAATCGCGGGACTTGCGGTCCAGTGGGACTTTAGTTTCACCTGAAATTTGACTTGGACTAGGCTCAGGTTCCCCACCTCCACCATGACCTGGACTCAATTGGTGACTTGCATTTAATAGGGACTTGGGACTCGGGACTTGGCACCAAAGATGCTGACTTGGGACTTGGACCCAAAGTCATGTTAAGAAAGGAAAGGAGCCTTCTAAAGGCAGCCTCCTTATATTTACCAAAACTGGATTGCCAACAGGCGAGCAGGGGGGTGGAACCAGTGTTGCCTGCTCTCCTTTCTTTGAAGATGTTCATGGCATGGACATGATCATCGGTTGTTGGGCACAGAGGCAACCACTGATAAAAGCAGAGGAGAAACGGAGCCCAGCAGAACGGCAGGTGACTCTCGAAAAGGCCGAGCTCAAACCTTACTTGTTCTCCAAGACAATCTGAGGCAGCCACAACATTTCCGGCCGGAGACGGAGGACCCAAATGCCACCAAATTCAGACTTGTTCCACTGCAGCCTGTAGTCTGTCCATCCCTGTGGATAACCATGAGGATGTGACGTTCAGAGTCTCCACTGTCTACATGGATAGATAGCGTTGCCTAATGGTGTGTGGAGTGTTCTCAGCTTTGGGGGATAAAACTTGCCAATTTTTGGTTTCACTAGATGCTGGATAATGACAGTCAGCTCAGGAAGCCAATTCTTGTCTCCAGACCCCACTGGGGGCCACGATGCTGCCAGAAATAGCCATTTAAAACCATTAAAAGCCTGCTCGTATATCCATGTTGATCCTGTTATGCTACTTACATAGTCAATTCTGAGCCGGTCCTTCTTATTGCTCTTTCTCAGCATTGAGAGACCAGGTGTCTTTGGGAGTCCCTCCCGGATGCCTAAGCTGAAAACCGCTGCTCCAGGGGGCCTCCTAAAAATGGCCAAAAGCCATGGAGGGGGTTCATTTGGGGCTTTGGAGGACCCCAAAAATACTCCTGAAGAGCTACATGGAGTCCACGGAGGGCGAGTCACTCGCCCCCGTTGTGGATAAACCTGGAACACGGACATGTTTTTATAAACTACAATTCCTAGCAAAGTCAATATCGATTAAGTCATCCGGCCTCTACATTGCTCACTTCAGATCCAGGGAAGAGGAAGGTGGAGGGAGAGAAAGGATGGCAAGTGTAGACAATTCCTTTAAGAAGGAAACAACAATGCCCATTGTCCTTTTAAACTCCCTCACTCAAGTTCCTTCCTGGTGGCAGTCTTAGGAAGCTGAGGGAACTTCCTCATGGTGGTTGTAGGGTGGAAAAGGGGGGGGGATGGAGGCCTCGCTCTGCAGACAGCCACTGCCTGGCTAGAAGCTCCTTTGTCCTGCCTGTATCATGGGGTTGCTGTTTGCATTTCCCCATTGATGAGAAATTGTGTTTTCTCAGAGAACTGGAAATGCTCACATCAGGGTCAACACACTTTTCTAAATTGCACTCTTTGATGTGAACCTCTTGTCCTCCCATGAGACACACATATAGATGAGTGTATGTTGTGCTACTTACATGATCAATCCAAACATTGGTGGTGAGAGTTTCGTCAGCTTCTTTCTGCAAAAACAGTCGGGGGAGGAGGGAAGTGGTCAGTCCCTAAACTTCTTGGATAAGGAGAACATCCGAAGCAAAACAGTCTATGCTTCAGCACTGGCATTATGTGCTTTTTTTTGGGGGGGGGAGAGGTTGATATAGGGCCACACACATTTTGTTTTAAGGGTGATGGATGATGGCGGGGTTAAAATGTAGAAGGAATCTTTAAACCTGGGATAGAAATCTAGGGGCTCGCCAGGTGTGGTTGAGCTGCATATCAGCCATCACACTGGAAATGTTGACAACAGCAGTTGATGGGGCTTGTAGTCCAGGTTCTAGGGGTCCACATGTTCTTCATTTTTACTTTAAAAGGGGGGTTAGAAGATAAGATTTGGATGCAGGAGGTTGGAAAAGAACTTTTGTAAAGTTTGCACCAGAGACCGGGAAAGCTTCCAACTGATGTCTTTCCCCCTCTTTCTTTCTCTCTCTGTGTTTTCTTTTTTAAAAGCACAAGAGAGCTTCAGACCAGGCACGCCGATGGGCTGGTTTTGATTCATAGTCTTGAAACTCCATAAATAGACATGGGTTGCTAATGGGCCAGGAAAGAATGACAGGGGTGTGTGTGCGGAGGGAGGGTTATTGCCTGCCTGTGTCTTCACAGCAGCTGGAGACGCAGACTTCAGCTAGCGGGTGGATCTCTTTCTGGTCCAAAGATGGACATTTGGGGCAGGCCGATGGCCAAGAGATCAAAAGCTTGGTGACAGAGGACAGTTCCGAAGCTGGCAGCTGTTTCCCCAGAGGTATTTTGCAAAACGAAGGCCTGGGGCCAAACAAGAAAGGAATCCCTCTCTTTTATTTATTTATTTATTTATTTATTTATTTATTGGACTTATATACCGCCCCATAGCGCTACAAGCACTCTCATTTTGCAAAACGAAGGTCTGGGGCCAAACAAGAAAGCAATCCATCTCTTTTGAACCCATCACCCACACCCCTACACACACTCACACCCTTGTGAGGGTTTCCATCAAAGAACCAGATAGTTATGGGGGTTAGAGTGCCGGGCCAAGGGCTGGGATAGACATCTCTATCTCTGGGTCAAGGAAGGGATGGGGGGCTCCCTGTTGACGGCCTCACCAGGGATATCAGGTTGGAGAGCGTCAGGGCCAGGTAGACCGTTACTGTCTCATCTTTGGAAACCACCGGCCGCAGGTTCTTGTTGTAGCCTTTCTCCTCGAAGAGGTATTTCATCAGTTTTTCTTCCATGTTCATCCCAAGGGTACCTGGGGGGACAGGAAGATAAAGAGGGTGGAGGTGGTAGTGCTGAGCTGACCTGCTCTTTACAAAGCCAACAAAACCGAGCAACGAACAGTTCTGGAAGCTGGCCTGAAAAGCTGGTCCATCTGTAGAACCTGGCCATGTCCCGTGTCAGGTTCCCAAGCTAGCTCACTATCATACTGTGAGCGGTCTGGAGTCCCCTTATTAGGAGAAAGGCGGCCTGTAAATTAATAAAATAAAATAAAATATTGCCCATTTTGGCTGCATGAGCCAAGCAAAAGGAAGCCAGATTTCGGTTGACTATCAGGAAAAACTTCCTAACTGTTAGAGCAGTACAACAGTGGAACCCCTGACCTCAGGAGTTGATGAGTGCTCCAACGCTGGAGGCATTCAAAAGAAAACTGGACCACCCTGTCAGATCTGCTTTGACCTTGAGCAGGGGGTTGGACTGGATGGCCTTACAGGCCCCTTCCAACTTCACTCTTTTATGATTCTATGATTCTCTGGTGTTCCCGGCAGGAGTCTTTCCTGTCCCTCTCCAGAGATGCCTGGGATGGACCCTGGAACTTTCTCAGAACTTGGAAGTAACTGCTTATAAGTAACCAATTACTTAGTAATTCTTTTTCTGGTAACAAGCAATATGATTAGTCATTGCACATTTACTTTTAGGTGTGGTATCTAACACCTAGTTACTTTCAAAGGTTATTTTTTTGGAAGACACTTTAAAACTATTTTAACAGCCATTCTTCAGGTTCAAACTAGGTGAAATCTCTGAGTCATCATTCCCTGGGACATATTTATCCATTATTTATTTAAAATATCTCTTCCCCCCCCCATGTCTTCCGTAAAAGGACCCAAGGGTGGCTTACATCATGAAAAAGACAATATTTAAAAGCGAAAACCCGTAAGTATGCCACTATTACCAGAGAATTAAATAAGTATCCTATTTAAAATAGTAATTAAAATCAATATTAAAAACACATTTAAAAGAACAGCGCACAACAATCCAATTTCTTATGTTCACACCAGTCACTGAGGAAAAATCTGTCTGAAGGGAAAGGTCTTCTTTGGAGAACATCAGTAAAGATAGGGCCAGGCTGGCCTCCAGTGGGAGGGAGTTCCACAGTCTGGAAGCAGCAACCCACAAGTCCCCACCAGGTGGTGGGACTGAGAGAAATTCAGTCTCTTGATGATCTTAATGCCTGAGCAGGCTCACAGCGGGAGATATGGTCTTTTTTTAGATAGCTTGGATTTAAGCTGTTAAGGATTTTATAGGCTAACATAAACCTATGTTGCTCAAGAATCAACAAGTGTGCACCTGAACAAATATGTTGTTGTTACAGAGCTCGGTAAGCAATGACAACAAGAGAATGCCAAAGAGTACAGTGACTCTTGGAGGACTTCATTGATCCCCTATTTATGCAAAGTGACACTCAAGATTTGCAACAAAGATTTTATACAGAGCAAGGAAGGCCAGATGTTTAAGCTAGTTTCGGAAAAGGAAGACACACTAGAGATCATATTGCATATATACATCAACTAAGGAAGCATAGTGAAGAATTTTAGAAGAAAAAACTGTATATGCTTTATAGATTACAGTGAAGCCTCTGACTGTGTAGATCAGAATTAAAGAAATGAGTGCGGCACATCATTTGTTTGTCTTGATGTGTGACCTACACTCAAGACAAGAGGTTACAGCCGAAACAGATTATGGTGAAACAGAACGGCTTCCCATTGGCAAAAAAAATGCCATACAGAAAGCTGAATGCGATTTAGATGAAGGAAAAGTGGAAACTGGCAGAAGAAAAATGAAGGATTTAAAATATGCAAATGACACCATGCTACTGGCAGAAAATAGTAAAGGCTTGAAATGACTACTGAGGAAGGTTTAAGAAGAAAACACAAAAACAGGATTGCAGCTGAACAGTAAGAAGACAAAAATTCAGAAATGGCTCGCGAAGATTACGAACCTGTAATGATGACAGGAGACGCTGAAGCTGCTAAGCTTTTTTTTTCATATGATTGAGTCTCAGACAGGGACTGCATCGAAGGAATTGAACAACTTGGAAAGACAGCAATGAAGAAATAAGAAAAACTATTGAAGTATAGGGAGGGGTTTTTTTGAGACGAAGGCCAAGATCATCCATATACTCAAGAAAGCTGGTGGGGAAAAAATTAGTTCATTTAAATGAGGTTTTGAAGGAGAAATTTTATGGATACCGTGGACGGCCAGAAAGGCAGACAAAGGATTGCTAGAACAAATCCAATCTGAACTCTCACTAGAAGCTAAAATGACTAACACGGGGTTATTGTACTTTGGACGTAGCACAAGAAGACAAAATCTATTGGAACAGAATTAATGCTTGGAGAAATGAAAGGCAGTAAGAAGAGAGGAAAACAAGAGATGGGTTAACTCAATAAAGGAAGCCACAACCTTTTGTTCGGAAGCCCTGAGCAGGGCTATCAAAGATATGACCTTTGGAGGTCATTCATTCATACCGCCATCACAAGTCGGAACCGACAATGATTTCTTCATATCCAACATTTTATCCAGCATTTTAACAATCTTATATTTTATGCTGTCATACCGTTGTCACAAGTCAGAACTGACAATGATTTCTTCATATCCAACACCCTGCAACGACATTTCCCTGCACATGGAGAAGTAGCCTCACTAACACCCTGCATTTTAACAATCTTATATTTTATGCTGGATTGTAATGCCCTTGTTTATCATCTCTGTGAGCTTTATGCCAACAATAGTAAATAATAAGCCTTTCTGGTGACCCGGGATAAAGAATCTACAGGATGGAATCATGGGGATCTCAGAAAGAGGCGCTTTTTAATTTTGGGTTGGAATCACATGCACGCACACTCATGCACGCAAGCAAAAACACATGCTTTCTGGAGGTCATCAATTTTCGCTACTTAGGGCTACTGTCTCTCCCTTCTAAGGGCTTGATCTGAGCTGAGGTTTGATTTCTCTCCAAATGTGTGAAGATGAAAAGCAAGAAGAAAATACAAATATGGGTTTCGAGCACATCCAGATGATGTCTGGATGAAAAGCACGTTTGAAGAGAGGGCTATTAGAGATGTCTATAAGGTAGCATTTAAAAGCTTCTGCTCATGTTCAGCTCCAGACCTTTGTCCTTCTGAAGCACCTGGTGGTAGCTCTCCTGCTTCTCCCAGGTGGGTCAGAAGCATCCTTACCTGACAGGGCAAAAACCCCAAGCAGGATGAGGCTCAGCGTCCATCTTTCCATGTTGGTGCCGGGGTGTCCGGCGCAAGTGGCTTTGTCCGGCTCCCCTCTTTGTCCAGCTCTCCGATGGCCACGGGCCGAAACAGTCGGAAGTCTGAGCTGAGGCTGTCCCTAGGGAATGCAGACCGACAGCGGCAGCTGCGAGGCCAAAAGGCAAAGGAGGGAAATAGCAACCGGATCTGAGAATGAGAGTCGGCCACACGATCCCTTCCGGCCATTCTGAGCCAAGAAGAATTCCTCCTTCGGGTGGCAGCTTCTGGTGCCCGGTGCGGCCGGCAGGTCAGAAGAAAGCAGAGCACAAGGGCACAGAGCCAGGCATTGGTTACGAGCAGAGTCTGCGGCCAAAGCGAATGTTCACCTATACGTACATGGAGGATGCAGGCAAGCATTCACACATGTGCACCACAGGAGGGGACCAAAGCAGGCAAGATTCGACTGGCTGAGCCTAACTGGGGTGCAGCCGCCCCACGTTTACCCAGACTGACGAGCCCTCGCTGACTTTGGGTGCATGAAAGACAAAAAGCCCTTCTCTGGCCAGACAGAAGGCTGTGGTCGAGATCGATCATGTCCCCAGATAATGTTGTCGACGTCCTTATTGATGCTGATGACAAACCACAGTGACAAAGACTCTTCAGCACCCACCAGGAGTTGTGTTGTTGTCAGGTTGGGTGATGAGATGATGGAATGGCAAGCAATCATGGGATAATAATGATATTATTATAATATTTGAACCGTAGGTGCCAAAATGCAGAGTTCTTTGCAAGAACTGGTCCTTGCAACCACGAGGTGGGAGGTCAAGACTGGAATAGAGATCTAGATTCGTGCAGAAGAACTTCTTCCCATGTTTATCGTCCCGATCATTCAGATCTGCCAGGGAAAGGCTCCCCTCTGTGCTCCACCGTTGGGAGTGGTGCGCCATGCGGAGAACTGGGAGAAGGCTGTCTTGGCTGGGTTTGCCGAGTTTGAATTTCTGGTCAAATTCCTTTTGCTGTGCAAGTACAGAGACTCACAGAGGAGACTAGCTACAGGTTCCCCAGAATCCAACCCCTTTTCATTAACTGGCACTTAATGTCTCAATACATTCTCTCTGAGAAAGAATAAAAAGCACTTCTTGACTTACCGCTGCTTGAAAGGACAGACCTGTGTAACTCTGCTTTCTTTAGTGCACCTCTACAAACAAACAACCGAACAGATCAATAGCAAATTATTAACAACAACAACAACAACAACTCCCCAGAATCCAACCCCTTTTCATTAACTGGCACTTAATGTCTCAATACATTCTCTCTGAGAAAGAATAAAAAGCACTTCTTGACTTACCGCTGCTTGAAAGGACAGACCTGTGTAACTCTGCTTTCTTTAGTGCACCTCTACAAACAAACAACCGAACAGATCAATAGCAAATTATTAACAACAACAACAACAACAACAACAACAACTAAATAGATCAATAGCAAAACAACAACAACACCAACAACAACACCAACAACAATAACTGCCCCCCATGAGAGGAAAGAGAGGAAAGGAAACACTCAGCCCAGCAGAGGAAAGAGAGGAAAGGAAACACTCAGCTGAGATGTAGGGCTCTCTTTGAGGAAGGAACAATGGGTTAGTGCTGGAGAGACAGAAAAGTCCCTCTCACCCTCACAAACCCCCAACATCCTGAAGGTTGGAAGCACAAATACTACCTTTTTTCCTCTGATGCCAGGTTAAAGCATTGGGCTCCATCCCTTCAGTCTCCTGATGGTTGCTTGCTTGTTAGTTAGGTAGTTTGTTCGTTTGTCCATTCGTTCATTCATTTGCTTGTCTGTTCATTTGTTCATTTGTTGGTTTGTTCGTTCATTCATTTTATTTGACTTTTATACCCCCTATCTGGCTGCCAAAGCCACTCTGGGCAGTTGTTCATTTTATTTGACTTTTATACCGCCTATCTAGCTGCCAAAGCCACTCTGGGCGGTTTGTTTTCATCGATTTAACTGTTGTTAATGTCTTGCTTTAAAATGTTAAAACTATTCGGGTGGCTTTATATTCCTTTAAGGCAATTGTATCCATTGTGTTCTGCCCCGAGGAGCCATCTGCGACATCCATGGCCAGTTGGAAAAACATTTCAGTTAAATAGAGACGCATACGGTAGAAAGCTACTGGGTACAGGGTGACCAAGGGCCCTTTTTAACATTGGCAGTCCTCTGTTTGAAGGTTTACCAAAAGACGATTTGTCTTTCCAAGGGCTGTGTCAGTCAGGTCTGTTTTAAAGGTAAAGAAGACCCATGAGGAGGGAAACGAGGGGCCTTATAGTCAGACTTAGCAGGAAATGGGGATTTGGGGACTTGTAGTCCAAAAAGGGGTTATCTTTGCCAAATTCTGGCCAGTACCCTTTTGGCTACATAAGCAGGGACACTTGCAACTGAAATATTGGAAATAGGTGAGATCCTCTAGTCTGGACTGAGCATTTGTAAGCGAGACCTGTCTGTCTAAAATGTTTTTCTCGGGTCACAGTGCCACAGATTCAGCCCTGCTGTCTCTATGGGCTCTAAGCGCATGGATTTGCTGTCGTCCGTGCCAAGCGGCTGCGGCATCTCTGGAATGGCCTCATCTGTTCATTGTGGCACAGCTCCCAGCCTGCTCCGTCCATCAAAGCACCCCTGATGGTTGCTTCCTGTCCCCGTGGAAATGATCTTTCAGCGATGGGTTAAAAGATGGCACCAACGCTTCCAGCACTGGCACGCCGTCTTTGAGCAGAAGCGAGCAAAGGAGGTGAGCGCCTAAGCAGCCGGACAGCCCTGGGTGTCGTTGGTATTTTGGAACCTAATACACAATGTACTAAAATAAATCATGCAATATGTGAGCTTTTGTGGATCTGGACCATCCGCTTTGGCGGGCTTGTGCCAGTGTGAAGAATTTAAAGTCCAAAAGTCCATGGCAAGGCAGATTTCACCAGGAAAGTTACTCTTAGATGGTTCTTGTAGGTTTTTCCGGTTGTTTGGCTGTGTTCTGGAGGCTTTTCTTCCTAATGTTTTGCCGGTCTCTGTGGCCGGGATCTTCAGAGGACGGGAGTTGGAACTCTGTCTGTGTTCTGGTATAGTGTGTGGGATAGTTGAGTGTTTGTAGCTGTGGGATCAGCTTTTTGTCCTTTTCAGAAGATAGGGTGATTATAGTGATCAGGGTGTTTTCTGTTATGGGTGTATTGTTGTGATAAGGGGGGGGAGAGAGATGATCTGCCGCTGTGATTGATGGGTGTCGTTAGCTAGTCTTTTGTGAGCAGTGATCACCAGTCCTTGTGGCTGGGTTTGACTTTTTGCAGGCTGTATTTTTCAGTGCTGGAAGCCAGGCCTTGTTACTCTTAGATGTAACTCAGGAAAAAGACGGGGTGCATTTGAGTTGTTTTAAAGTAACAGCCGTGGCAGCTGAGGATTGGATGTAACACCCCAGTTCTCCAAACATAGAGGCTTAGGCCATGCATGCACGCACCTTCCTACTAATCTTTTCTTTGAGACTGGCATGTCTCTGCTCAACCAGGAAGGGCGAGATGACACAGAAAACCCAAGTCCTCCATCCGGGAATTGGGGTGATAATTTAGTAAACTCACTAGGTTTAGCCAATGGGGGTCAGATTAAAGTCAAAATAATATTACCTAGTGGTTGCTTGTGTGCTGCCTTTATCTGGGAGGGACCTTTCTGGACTGCAGTGACCGTTAGTCTATTCAGCACTAATCAGTTGTTCCTTCCTTCCCTCTGAATTTAAAGAGAGCCCCACCTCTCTGCTCAGTGCTTTGCCCCTCTGTTGTCTGATGGCACTCTGTAGCCTGTCGAAGTCTATCGCGACAAGCAGTCATGTTTGTCACTTTGCCGTTTGATCTCTTCAATTGTAAGTAATGAAACCTTTTATTCTTTCTCTTACAAACGTCTCTAAGTACATTATTGAGACCGTAAGTGCCAGTGAATGAAAAAAGGAGTGAGCTACTCTGAGAATTTATTCTGCTCTGTGAATCCCTGCCTACCCCCAATTTGTTTTTTAAAAATGTATTTTTGTGCCCTGTATCTTGGGGCCATTTCCCCACTCCCTCTCCCCAGTATCCATTTCACAGCAGTTCCATCCTCTAAAACTTCACCTGAAAGCACCCAGTTTCAAGCACAGCACCCGACTTGGCTAATGTTGCAGAAAAGGCGTCCTTACTTGGGCACGTTTTACCACTGGAAAGTCAAATCTTCCTCAGTCTCACTGGCCTGAGTTTCCCAACCCAGGAGATAATAGATTTGCTTATTTATTATGTTCACCTCCCACTTTTCTTCTTATGAACACAAAGTCCCACCACCCTGTTTTCAACTGTCATGACTGTTCTGTTCCATATGTGGAACAGGAGTCTTGGTATTAATCGAAGAAGCCATAATTAAAGCATCTGTTCTGTTTTCTTCTGCAGGTGAATAAAGGACGCTGGACGTCCTTAGCCTCTGGTCTTTGTAGAACAGTTCCCTACCAAACATTCTTGGACTGCAACTCCCAGAAGCCTTTACCACTCACTGAGCTAGCAAAGGCTTCTGGGAGTTGCAGTCCAAGAACATCTGGGGGACCCAACCCCGGGAACCACTGTAAGAGTAAGACAACCTCAAGGAATTAGAAGCCACACATCCCCACAAAAGTGTTTACCACAAAATATAGATTGTTTATTTAGCAAATAAATAAGTCTTTCTTTGCATGAATAAATATTTCAGGATCTTAATTCCCAACCCTTACGCAAAAGCAGATCTTGGTGATACAGTCCTGGAAGACCGCAGTCTGAAACCAAATACTGTCCAGGAAAAAGAGAAACGCAGGTGAAACTGAAACGCAGGTGAAACTCAACTAAGTTAAGACTTGAATTAGCCTGCATAATGATCATCCTCATGTGCCGTCAAGTTACGGCAGCCGTTTTCAGGGTTTTCCAGGTAAAGAGTCCTCAGAAGTGGTTTCTGGTTCCAAGACATGCAGAAGCAAAGAGAGATCCTTAGACTCTGTTATCGGAGCCAGTCTCGCTGAGCGCTGGGCTACAGCAACGTATTTCCTCCACTGTCCCCAAACCCAGTTAAATGTTGGAAAGGAGCTGCAGTAAGCATCGAATCATGACGTCAGGAAGGGGCCCCTATGACCATCAGGTCCGATCGCCTGCTCCTGGCAGGAATACAAATCACAGGAGATCAGCCAGGGGGTGGTCTAAATTTCTCTCGGGGGGGAAAAAAATCCTCCCCAAATAAAGAGGGTTAATTCAGGGTTGGTGGGGCCAAAGGATGCAGAGCAGAGCTTGGAAAAGTTAATTTTTTTTTGATTCTCAGGACCACTGGCACGGCCAAGCCATGATGTTAAAACCTTGCCACTTCACCACATTGTTTACTCCCTGTTGAAGCCTAGCAGTGGTTCTTAACCTTTGTTACTCGGGTGTTTTTGAACTGCAACTCCCAGAAACCCCAGCCAGCAGAGCTGATGGTGAAGGCTTCTGGGAGTTGCAGTCCAAAAACATCTGAGTAACAAAGGTTAAGAACCAGTGGCCTAGAGGGTGAACATTTCATCCATTCATATATGTGTCCATGTAACCCTTTGGAGTTGGCCAGTGGCCTCCAGAATCTGGTAGTCCATTACAATTCCATGGTTTCCCAATCACATCTGTGATGGATGCAACAGGGAGCTAAAGGGCAGGATGGAGGGTGGGTGAAAATAACTCTGTATCAGGCCTAGGACTGTTGTGCTGATGTTTATCCGCCTGCTGGAATTCAAGCCCAGATTTAATCCCGCCTCACCCATCCTCTAGGTGGCTTAGAAGACAATGGAGTGCAGTGGTTAGAGGGATGGCCTTCAACAAGACACACGTGCTTTCCCCATAAATCTGACACAGGTCATCTTGAGCTAAGCACCCTCCTACCGCCAAACCCCCATCCTTTGCTATTTCCTTGAGGATGAAACAGGGGTGCTGGTTGGGGTTGGGGTTACAACAAGGAGGAGGCAATTGCAGTCCTCAGTCAGGGGGTGACCGAGGGCCCTCCTCTCAGGTAGAACTGCCAGTCAACCAGGGAGGTGGGAGGAATAGTTTTTCTTGCACATGGAGTGAGATGTGCCTCAGCACAGCTGCCAGAAAACTAAGGAGCAAAGGAATGAAAGAAACATCTGCCCCAAACATTTTTTTAAAAAATTGTACATGGTCATTCTTATAGGGGATCCCGTTCATGGACCAAATTGAACGTTCAGGGTCCTAATTTTGAGCACCACCTCGGGCTTCACCCACTTCTTGGGATACATGGATTTTTGAATTTCAAGAGTCCAACCGGCCTCTGGAATTCATTGGGCACATTAGCGGCCCGAAAGAGAAGATTCACATGGCGTTCTTCACAGGTGTCTCAAACAAGGAAGCAAAAAAGCAGCTCAGCTGCTAGGTTTCGTGGGGCCGTGAAATGCTGAATCTGCCTTTTAAAATCAGGATCAAAATCAGGAACTCATCCTATCACTGGAGGAAATTAATGAGTTTTTCAGGAGAGCAGGATGGCTGTTCTGAGGTAGCAGGAAACGTGGCAAAAAGAGATGTTGTGAGTCATGTATTAACCCTCTACTCTCCTTCAAATTGAGAGGAAAGCAATGGTGGTTAATGTTATTCCATTCAACCCTGAATCCTAAGTAAGCAGATATGATAGGTGATCCTTTAATGCAGCTGAGAGCAAGGAATTGCCCAAACCGGATGGGGTGGGGGTAAATTCTCAAGGGCTAGCTTTTCTGATCACTGCCTCTTTCACTACACATGGCTTTGGGCAGTGGTCTCCAACCTTGAGCCCCCAGATGTTCTTGGACTTCAACTCCCAGAAATCCTGGCCTGCACAGCAGGTGGTGGAGGCTTCTGGGAGTTGTTGTCTAAGAACATCTGGAAACCCAAGGTTGGGAACCGCTGGCTTAGTGAAATGGAATCTGGTTGTTGTTGTTTTTTAGACTTCAAAAGTAAAGGAGTCCTTTTCAAAAATATTACCTCTCCAGACTGAGGCCCAAGAACCCGGAGTTTCTCCCAAAGTATTCTTACTTTGATGGAGCCCTCTCTCTGAGGGACAATGACACATTACGTTATTGTACAGTGGACCCTCTACTTGTGGAATTAATCTATATTGGAACAGTAACTGCAGGTCAAAAAGTCTGTAGGTCGAGCCTCCATTGACCTACAAGGCATTGAAAACTGATTAATCCCGCAACCGGCCATTTTTGTTCCATTTTGTTTATTTTTTCTAGTCTGTAGGTCGATTCTCCGGCTGTAAGTCGAACCTAAATTTTGCAGCCAGAGAAGTCTGTAACTCGAAAAGTCTGTAACTCGAGCCGTCTGTAAGTCGAGGGTCCACTGTACTTGGTGCCTTCAACAGCAGGGAGGCATCGAATCCGCTCCGGGTTTTATTCTGGACAACAAAGGAGGTCTCACCGGCGCCGGACCCATTTGAGAGATAGGGTTCGGTACCATGAACAGCTCCTGCAAAGTTCGGACCAGAACCCAGGGCAGATTTGACTCTCCCCACCACGAAAAAAGGGCCATTGACTTGCACACTTTTTTAAAAAAGAAAAGAAACATGCTTCCACTGGCCATTTAAAGCAGTCATGGGAATATCAATGCAAAAAAATGTTACTACTCTGATTTGGGGCCTTATTACCAGTTTCTTGTCAAAAACAGGACCCATGACATTTTGCTGCCTGAGGCAAAGGAGGAGCAGATGAAACTCTGTTACCATTCTGTCTTCAGTGAGTAACTCCGATGCGTGTGTGTGTATGTTTGTGTGTGTGTGTGTGTGTGTGTTTGTGGGTGTATCACAAAAGTGGACGGTTTAAGGACTGCTTATCTGAAAAAGTTATACTTCCACTGGCCATTGAAGCAGTCATGAGGATATCTATGAAAAAAAAGCCCCCATTCTGATTTGGGGCCTTATTACCAGTTCCTTGTCAAAAACAGGACCCATGACATGTTGCTGCCTGAGGCAAAGGAGGAGCAGATGTTTTTTAAAAAAGAAAAGAAACATGCTTCCACTGGCCATTTAAAGCAGTCATGGGAATATCAATGCAAAAAAATGTTACTACTCTGATTTGGGGCCTTATTACCAGTTTCTTGTCAAAAACAGGACCCATGACATTTTGCTGCCTGAGGCAAAGGAGGAGCAGATGAAACTCTGTTACCATTCTGTCTTCAGTGAGTAACTCCGATGCGTGTGTGTGTATGTTTGTGTGTGTGTGTGTGTGTGTGTTTGTGGGTGTATCACAAAAGTGGACGGTTTAAGGACTGCTTATCTGAAAAAGTGTGAAAGTGCAGTTTGGCCACGAAGCGCCAGCCCAAGGCTTCAGCTGCCCTCACGTCACCAGCCTGGCCAGCGTATCCCACACGCCTTCACAGTTCCTCCATCCAGACCCCTTCCTCCGGGCCAACTTGCCATCACGGTCCTCAACAAATGTGGGTGCTCCAGCCCTCCGCCTCGGGTTTCCGGCTGATGGCAGGGAGTCCCACCGGCTCATCACCACCATGGAGTAGCCAGGTTAAGTCTTGAGGCTGTCCAGCGCAAGAGCAATGAGCCTGGGCATGCTGCGATACATGGAGTCCGTCTCTAGACCGATGAGTCCGGTGAAGGCTGTAGCTTTGCGTCCCACAGTGGCCTGGATCCGTGCCCGGTACAGGCCCTTGGTGTTCTTGGAGGTCAAGTCCACCATGATCTGAGGAGAGAGAGGACACCAGTGAGGCAGGAAGAGAGATACGAAGCCCACCGAACATCATGGAGGGAACATCAGTACCGAGGATGGCGGGTCTAAGAGATACTGGCTGAAGTCCTCCAGGTGAGGGAAAAAATCTGAAAGTGAGGAGGACTAGAGGGATAGGTTTGATTTCACAGGGTGTGACGGATTTCATCTTTGCAAGACCTGATCTGGATAGACAACACATACGAAGAGTGTCTTATCTGTCAGCATGGAGAAGGTGGAATCAAGGGGAGCCATTACAACCCTGTCCTGCTTAATTTTTTAAGAACGAAGCCTTGTTCTCCTTGGTCTTCTCTTTCTTCTCCTCCCCGTGCATCCCTCAGAGGTAGGATCAACTGTGCTCAATAAGGCAATGGTCTTTATCCGGATTACGGACTCTGCTTGCAAAATGCATCTGGGTTTTCTCTCGGCACAGAACTTGGCTCGCCCTGACTATGCCCTATCCTTCCTCTCGTGTGCACGGCAGAGGGGCGTTTGCAGTCACAGCGTCGCTGGTGAACCTTCCCTCCACTATTAGCTGTCCAGTAGGGTGGGCTAATTGCAGAGCCCAGGGGCTGTTTTTACAGCCTCTGATCGCCTTCTTCCCCCTCCTCACTCAAACTCTTCCCCAGCAAAAGAAATGATGTGCTGATGCTCATGGAAGCTTCTAGGAAGAGAGACACAGCCTCTTACTGGGAAGGAGAAACGGGGGAAATATCCCTCTGCTTGGAGCAGAATTTCTCTGCTTCGGGTTTGTTTTTCTCAGAAATCCCACCTGGAACCTTTTTTTCAGTAGCTTTGTGGTTCTTTCTTTCTTTCTTTCTTTCTTTCTTTCTTTCTTTCTTTCTTTCTTTCTTTCTTTCTTTCTTTCTTTCTTTCTTTCTTTCTTTCTTTCTATCTATCTATCTATCTATC